AAGGGCATTAAGTTTTATGATACTTACAGCTCTTTGATCTTCACTGAGCCCATAAAGGAAGTCTTCGGTGCTGTATTTTCTTTGAAATATAGCGTTAATGGTTGAACATGGAGTCTTAAATATTTGTAAATTGCGTAATAGGACAGTTCCGCGTTTGAAGCTACGCATGTTGTAAATTCTATTCATTAGTTATTCCGCTGATTATGAGTTTTGTTGACTGGAACTGATGACTAGAAAATAAATCTGTTCAGTCGGAAGGTAAAGTTATAAAAATAATAGGGAACTTTTATATTTTTTGAAATCGAAAAGTTAGATTTCAATATTGCGGGACGGTTTTCAAAAATAAGAAAAAAGTGAACGATGAAGGGGATTAGAGTCAAATTGGACTCTAGCGGTTAGCTACTAGGCAGACTTGGATAGAAGCAGAGCATTATTTAAATAGTTCATTCTTTAAAAGAGTAGCGTAAGACAAGGGAAAAAAAATTGCTTTGTTATTTTTCTCATCCCAAAGCTACAGAAATACATTATTTTTGTCGGGATATTTTCCTATTGTTAGTGTACTGAAAGCGAATACTGTGTTTGGCCAAGTAACGTTACGTCTGGAAAATGCTTTAGAACAGTTGTTTTAATAAATATTTTTTTAAAGCGTAGCCCAAAGACTCGTTCTTTATTAAACCCACAAGTAATTGTACATCTGAGTGGAAAAGTTATATCATGGTAGGTCAAGTGTAATTTGTTTCCAGAAATGAAATGGTTTTAAAAAAAGCGTTTATAGGACTCTAGTAACAGGATTTGATGATTTTTTGGTACTGATGGGCTAGATTGAAAGAGTTTAATTTGTTTGGTGTAGCAAAATTGAAAAAAACAGTGAATAACCAAAGATCACTGGGGAGAAACAAGATAATGAACAGACAGAAATAAAACACTGGACTTGGGAGAACGAACAGGTCAATGAAATTGCCTAGTTGTTAACGATGAGAGCTAGGAGTTATCTGTCTGTTTAGCGTTCTGTTATTAGCTAACCATTAATATTTAACAAAACACCAGCTAGCTGGCATCAGCGTATCTTTTGTTGGTCTATATATTTTTCTAGGTGAAAATTAAAACGAGTCGTTTACGAAATTTAATTTCGGTCTTAACATATCGCTTTTGTTTTGTCTGCAGTTATTGTCTGCTAAAAGTTATTGTGTTTTTGTTAACTTTGGACGATAAGCTAAAGGAGACGTTTTTTAATTGCATATTTGTTGACTGTATGACAACTTACCGGTCAAATACAGAAGGATTAGGGTATTTTTAGGTGGTTTACGGTTTTTTTTTTTGCCGAAAGCAAATATGGTAAGTTCTGTACTGTACTCAGGCTTCTGCAAACAGAAGGGCTTTAAATTATAATGTTGAGTGTTTGATAAATCAGTCGGCTTCTTTATTATTTAGTAATTCTTATAAAATTATGTTTTTCTAACAATGTACCACTAAGATCATGAAGCATTAATTATTACTGGTAGTAACGGCCACATCTGTACCTGAATGAGTTTACTTTTTGTGAATGAACGGTAACCAAGAAAGAAAGCAAAATGGCTCACTGTTGCCAAATCTTAAAATAAATAGCATCTTCTGTTGATCAGGCAGTTTTCAACTAGCAGGTTGTCTGCTTTTGAACCGAACTTCTGGTATGTTGAAGCCGAAACTTACATGAGAGTATAAAATAATGTTTGGGAATTCTAGATTCAAAGCTTGCTCTGTTCCGGATGATAACATTGATAACGGTTAAGTTTAACATGTTGGTGGAAAGCGGTCAAATGGATGAGTCGGAAAAATGTTGCTCAAATATAAACTTCTTTCTTCTTACTACAGAAATAGCTGAGCTAGAATTTCATTCATAGAAGGAAATTTTTTTTGGTTTAGAACTGCAAAGGTAACTTTAGAGTAAAAATGCAGTTGAACACGAAAATATTACTTTGAAGAGTTAAAGTTTCATTTGTTCTTTATTCATAAGCATCATAAGTGTTTGTCATGCAAAAAGAATTTATAGATGAGCAATTAACTGGTTCTTTGCAGTGATGGAAACCGTTTGTTAAATACCAGAGAATCAAAAAAAAAAAAAAAAAATTATGTAATCTTGTTAGTCGATGTCAACTCCAAAGTTATTTTTAGATGAAATAACTAACAAAGTACTAATTTATTGATGACTTAAAAATTCTTAACTAAAGGTTTATGGCATTATAATACGAAATCTCGTATAATGCTTCATTATTATTTTGAATTTTAACATGGTTTAACACATGGATTTTTGTTTTATTAGGTATCGGTTTTATTGAAAAGCGATGAAAATTGAGAACTGGAGGAGTTCTTATTGCTCTAATCAGCTGCAAAAAGCCAGGCTGGTTGATGCTGGTCGGTGTAAAACTTTGACACCGTCTACAGCTTGAGTTTACTGTTCGTTCAAAATTGAATTAGTTTCATAGTTTCAAATTCACAGGATTAAATGAAACTGTTATTTTAAGACAACTGAAAAAGTAACTTAAAAACATAATTTCACTTTTTCTTACAACTAATAAGGATTTTTTTTTCTGCTGAATTAAAATACTTCATTTTTGATAAGAAATAGTTTATTTTTTCAGCCTTTATACTATTTCAATTTTGTAAAAAAATCTTCATTAACTTTATCCAACTTCTCTTTATTTGATAACGTGGGTTACAAACTACCCAATTATGAGTAAAAGCTGTGAGTTTAAATTTCATCACACATAAGTTTGGGGAAGAGTGTTTTCTTAGTTGTTTTTAGTTTGATAAAATTTGTACAAACAAAAATTTTATAAAAAAAACTTTTAATTAACTTTGGTTAAAGTTTTGTTGTAGAAGCCTGTTTTGCGATTGAACAGTAGTTTTTGTAATTCACTTATACTTATTATTCAGTTACTCTTTATTTGCTGTTTTTCAACTGTTGCTTATTTATGTGCTAGCTTTGATTACACAAATGAACAAATAAATAACTGGTTTGAGAGTTGCAATATTGATGGTCATGAATAATTGGAATTTAGTTTTACACAGGTGTTTGCAATTTTACTCTGTTTTTGAAAACGAAATAAGCGTTGAATGTGTTCATTAAAAGTGATTTTAAAAACTGCGAGAAGGAAGTGAGGTTTTAAGTTTGCCGATCATTCCTACTCTTATAATGCTTGCAAGTTCTTCTAGTTTGATGATACAGATTTTCTAATGGGGCAAAACAAAATCTGCTGAAAAACTTGATTTGCAATTACTTCTCAACTCGAAAATGAACTCGCTGAATTTGAAGTTTGACTTGTTGTTTTACTGAACTTTTTTGCGTTACAAAAAATAAATGAAGTGGTGGAAAAAATTTTTTGCAGAAATTGAACCATTTAATTGGATATCTTTGGCTAGTATAGGTTTTCAATTTTTTTTAACCGTCGTTTTGTAAAATCATTATAATGTTTATTGCTACAAGAAGACAAAGATTAAGAAATGTTTGTTAAGTAAAATCCTGTTTAAATGAACTGTTTTAAAATGTAATGAAGTAAAGTTTTTTGATGAATGAATTTGATTTGAGAAATTGTTCAAACAACAATAATTAATAAATCATTAGCTATCTACAGGATATATTTAATATTTACATATTGTTTGTTCTTACTACTGCAGTTGGATGTCTATAGGACTTTCAAACGTGATGTTTTATTTGGAAGATTCCAATATATGTCAATTGCCTACAGAGATGAAGAATGTATGCAGTTTGAACAGGTAGTTCAGAAACTATTGACTACAATATGACGCCGTAGACGGTTGAAGAAGTTTGTTGAACATTCGCCCAAATGATCAATGAATGAATGATAAGATACAGTAAAAAATGAAAAAACGGTTGATATCCATTTGAAGAGAGAGAGAACAGAAGATAGCAACAGATTGTTTTAACTGCAATTACAGTGGAAATTTCTTGATACAAAGAAATTTTTTCATGCTAAACCCCTTTTTTTTTTTCTGATACATAGACGGTAACGTGAATCATATTGGCTGACTTTGTGATACACAATGTATTTTGCTGTTAATTATTTGTTTGAAAAAAAAATGGAACTTATTCAGCGAACATTGGTAAATTTTAACCGTCAGAAACCATTTTTTAAATACGTTTTGAAATTGTCTTGAAATGTTGTTATTTTGTCTGACTTTTTGTCAGTTCTCAGTAATTAATGCTTTGTTAATTGTGTATGAAGACGTTAGCGAAACTTTGAAACTAAGCTCTAATTATTTTTAGTGAACAATGAATGCAACGTTAATGAAGTTGACTGATTTGACGACAAAAAATTCAACAAAAGTTTTTCAGTAGTACAAATTTTTGTTAAAGCGTAATAGAATCTTCAAAAAATTAAAAAATAACAAAATAAAAAGGTTTTTTTTTTTGCTCAATTTTATAGTGAATTATTCTTTTTTTTTCTTTCACTGTTTATAAATCACAAATTTGACACTTATTTATTTTTTTTTTTTGGCGATCAGAGATATACAGCTATCACTG